CGCTGCACCCACTTCTGTACGGATGATTTCGACTTTTTCATATATTTAGCAGCCGCTAATTGTGACATTTTTAGGTGAGTGCAGAGGAACACGGCTTCATAGCGTGATGCGTATTTGGTACTCATGGTGCTTAATGTGATTCTCTTAAGAAAGTTCAATGACAACTGAATCTTCCTTGATAGTGCATCAAGGATAAAGGTGGATCCTCTATGGATTCATGATAGATTTAGGGCGATATCTTTTATTAGCTTTGAGTAAAGCCGACCACGTACTTGACTTACTAGAGATCACCACAATTATTTTATTTACAATCGATTTTGCAGTACATTTGCACTTACTGTTAACTTCTTTCATGTTCAATTAATCCTTATTATATAAGTAAGTAATCCTTATTTTTGATAAAACGTGTAACTAAACAGACTTTGACTGATGCAACTGCGTTATGAATTCAGTGTATCGTAATAAGCCTACGGCTATTACACATGCCACCTGTCTTGAATGACAACGTGACCACTTTAAATGTGCTTAAATTAGTAAGATAAAGTGAAAAATTGAATGATAAAAATAATATAAACATGTACTACTTTGAAATTAGAATGTTAAAAAATTAATACTGGCAATATGCATTGCAGAATTTCCTTGTCATTCCAAAATATATGTGCTTGGTCTAACTAAAACATGATCACTAATTAGGATATTCACTTTACCTTCTTTAGAATGGCGTAATTGAAATTGAAAACGAAATTGAAAAAAAAAAAGTTTCTCTGTGAGATGGTCAGTTCTTCTTTTTCGATCAATAGTTGGATAGCTGGATGGTCCAACTAGTTGAATCTTAAAAAGAAGAACTGATCACCTCACAGAGAAACATTATTGATACAAACACGCGATGAACATTGTATACTGAATGCGTCTATCTCATATCTCGTCGAAGTAGTATGTACTGAAGATGGCTAAAAAATTAATCGAAACAGCGCCGTTTACGAGCGCCTATTGAAATTTTGTAATTTTTTTTTATTTGTTCTAATTAAAAGTCAGATATTTGATTAAACGTTAACATTGATTTTTATTGTGCACTTTCTATAGAGCTAATTCCTAAAGTCGTTAAGTTTGTTAGATTAATTTATTTATTTAGAAAATTAATATTATTTTTAAAATAAATATTACTTTTATTTCTTCCGTAATAAATAAATAACAGAGTTGTTTGATTCCGTAATATCATCCGAAAAAAATAAATATAAATAATAATATGCTTTGCGAGCTGTGAGCATTCTATTATTCTAAATATTGCACAATTAAAACTAATTTATGTTAAATTAACATAATTATTATTAAAACTAATAACTAAAAATATTTAATGACAATGAAAAATTGTTTCAATATTTTTTGTTTCTTTATTAATATTTATTCAGATTTATATGTATTGTAAAATTTTTTTAATGCCCAAAAGTAGATTTAAATCTGTATATTGGATTGGGGAAAAAGTTTACAAATTGGTAAAAAGACTTTTAGCAATCCATTCTATTTGTGAAAAATTAAACCACTTAATAGAGCAAGTTTCAGCTTTAAAAATAATATTTTCATTGCGATACGATGATTTTTAAGGAGTTACGCAATAAAGTCAGAATGTTTCTTTTTATCTTAATCCGCGAATAACTCGGGAAAAAAATCGTAAGAAACAAAAAATTGTAAGAACATTTTTTTAATTATACGATTATGT